CTTTGAGATTCCATTGAGGAGGCCATTTTTTTTAAATTTGAATTTTAAAAATAAAAAAAAATTGAAATTTTAAAAATCAATTGAAAAGGGGCACAACTAAGAGATCTTTATCGTAGATGCGGTTAAGCACTTTAAACTACAAAACCACTCCGATACCACTTGTTAGTCATTGTGCCCACGCCTTAGAGGGGGGGGGTGAATAAGGCGTTTGAAAACTTTTCAAAGTTTAATAAAAATGGTGTTGGCAAATTCGAAAGCAATGTATAAAACACATAATTAAAAGTGTAAATAAAATGAAAATCGATTTTATACTGGTTCGGGAACTCCCTACTCTAGTACCTTAAGGTTCCTTCTTAAGGATTTCCGAATCCACTAAGTCCCGGTCTCTTGAACTTCATCAAAGCATCACACTAGTTTGGCAAACAACCCTTGTCAATAGGATTCACTTCGAGATTTCACAACAGCTATCTCGAACCGCTTACAATGAAGATTTCACGGCTATCTTCGACCGTTCCCCCCCAAGGATTTCAAAGGCTATCCTTGAACCTTTATCCAAGGATTTATACGGCTATCCTCGACCATTTCAACTTGAGAATTTAACAGCTATTCTCGACTGTAAGAAAGTGTGCTTGAAGAACACAATAAATAATTCTACACAACGGCTTGAATACAAAACTGAAGAACAATACTGATACGGTGTAGAACGGAATTATACTCTCTCAAAAATACAATATAAACTTATGAAGATGAGAGTATATCACAAAAACACAAGTTCAAAAGTGTGTGTATAAATATCAAGAGAATGATGCTCTTAAAATAGCCAAACTATGAGGAATTAAGCATAAAAGAGTAAACACACTTAAAATATAAAAGTAGGATATTTGGAGCTTGAGTTCTTGTTGAAATATGAAGTATTAGTCTTGTATTTATAGTGGTAGGTGTTTACTAGCCGTTGGGAGGTGATTAGGCTTGATTAAACTCAAATTCAGCAATCAGGAACTGTACCTCCAACAGTTACGGTACCGTACGGTAGCTAGGTACCTTCTCAGGCCAAAACTCTCTGGCGATAGCTGTCCTCTTACGCTTCCTCTTTCGGCAGGGGGGTCCCGGGCTGACGGTAGGGGGAACCTTCTCACATTGACTCATGGTACCCCTCACGGTAGCCCTTACGGTACCTAGGTACCTGCTGACCGTTTTGATGATTTTTTCATTTTTGTCTAAAGTTTTTCCAATTTTGTTTAATACCTTTTGGATGTTTGGAAATGATTATAAGAAGGCTTTAAACATATTTTGTGAGTGTTTTTGAGCTTGTGAATATAGGGATATAAAATCATATCCTCACAATAGTTTCTACCTATATTCTACTCTAGTTTAATGTTTCCACTTCATTCTTGAGAACCGAATCTTAATGGATTCTTATTGTACCTGAAACAGTTAAACAAATGTAAGCTTTTATATTGTTTGTTAACATCAAAACACAAGGCTTTAGCAAACCAAGGCTACAATATTGCATTGATCAGAAGCAACATCCTTCACCCAAGGATTATCACATGTTTTGTTTTAATTCTTAGGTACTCAAATCATCCTTGTTATACATTTTTTATACCTTTTCTTTTTAAAATTGTTGCATTTCCTCTGAATGAGTCCCCTTTTTCCACAGCAAAAACAAACATAATTAGCATCAACATTAGTATAAGTATACCTTTCAGGTTTAGGATAATGATCCTTGTGTCTTCTCATACTAGATTGTGTCACAACTCTTTGCCGTTTTACATAGGGTGCTGCATAAGATGTTCCAACAGAAATTACATGAGATGCTTCAGTGGGTCTGGAAGAATATGTTCTAGAGAATTTGGAAGCTTCTAGTTTCCTTCTTTGTGGGACCTGTTGAGCAACTTCCTTTCTTGAATAAACAAACAAGTCAAGTGGAGTCTTGTTGCTTCAGAACTTGAAAATCTGAGACCCGTCCTGTCTCCATAGAATTTTGAAATATTCACTTTTCGTTCAGGAGCTTTTGCTCAAGCTCTCCTCATTCACATGTGATAGTTTTTAAGTTGATTCACTTTTTGCTCGGCAACAACATGATGGTTCTCCATGATAGTTTTCTTGTTCGCTTGAAGAAGTTCTGCCCACTCTCTTTAAACCTACATACAAGCTCAAAACACTACAAAAAAGGAAGGCAATGCCGACAGGGGTCAATATGTCGCTAATGGTTAAATATCTGTCGTTACTCGCTTTTACCGACAGATAATTGTCTGTCGCTAAGCTGTCGCTAAAATTATTGCATTCAATAGATTTTTCAACAAATACCCCAATGTTTTTACAAACACATGTCATGCACTATAGAAAAAGCTCAAATCAAAGCACCTTCTCTACTCTTCTTATTGAGATATAAAATAAAAAGAACAAATAATCACACGTTTCTTAGTTTAAGCTTCACCAGCATCTTTGTGTTTACATTTTGAGGCTATACAACGAAGTCATTGTCGTCGTCTACTTC